AGAATTCCCACAGAGCACTGTAAGGGAATGCAGTCGGAGAATGCAAGACACTCAGCCGGTGAGCCTGGTGTGAGGGGACTGTTGGCGTCCTGGAGCCCGAAGGCGGTGAGTCGCAGGTGCCCACCTGAACCCCAGGGGGACAGGCTGATTCTGACACTTCCTGTGAGGATGTGCTGCTGTTGTCTTCAGGGTGTCAGTGGGTTGGGGGAGTCCTGTCAAATGCATCGGAGTCTGGGGTGAATGCAGGGGGTCCAAGTTGCCAAGCAATTCCTGGAGGTGAATTACAGCAACGTTGCCTTGGACTTGGCTACACAGCATTCCCCACGTAGCTACATCGTTCTTCACTCTGGGGGGATGGCCCCAATCACACGGATGGGGAGTGTAGTCACACGGGGGTCACATGCCATGGCTGCGTCACTGCTCTCTGCCCACAGGTGGTTTGAGGTGACAGCAAGTACCTTGGGATTTGTGTCCATTGTTTGGTCTGTCCCTGAGAAGTCCCTCATCCTGGTTGTCAACTCACTGAGGAAATGGATTTGGATCTGTTGGACTTGAATCCCAGAATTCTTGCTGCAGTTAAGAAAGGTATATTGATTTGTATTTACATAAAGTAGATGCGTGACATCAAATATACGGATGTACATATATGAGGGGGACCAAAAAAAAAAACCCAAAATTATTTTCTGGAGTGCAGGCCCATTGTAGTGCAGGCTTCCCCCACTAGGCAGATGTCCTAGGAAGCCATCAGCATCATTGTACCAGCTGGTGATGTCGTGAGAGGCTGCGTTCAGCATCAGTGAATTTTTTTTTTAGATTCTTTCAGTGTGTTTGCCAGTTTCATGATGGGTGATTTCCATGGACAACCTGCGCCCACCCTGCTGAGTGTTCAGCAGCTTTTGACCCAAAACGGCATGACCCCCATGCCCTGCCCTCCCTCTTCACCCGGTCTCGTCCTGGTCAGCATTTTCCTTTTCCTGGCTGAAAAAAGTCCTCGAAGGGAAACCTTTTGCTGATGTGGAAGAGGTGGAACAAAAAATGGCGGAAACACTAAAAGGCATCAAAATGGACAAGTTCAAGAACTGTTTTGATGAGCAGTGGAGTGTCTTGATAGGGGTATGACATCAGAGAGCAAAGGCGACTGAAGTTTAAACATGTAAGAATAGATACACAGTTTTCTGTAAATAAATTCTGGGGTTTTTTGGGTCCCCTCTCATACATTTTACATAAAGCAAGTTCACAAAGTATTGCCAAGCCTGGCTCTTCCTCCCTTTGCTTCCTTACTCTTCCCTGAAAGACACCTAGTCTGATGGCTGCAGTGATGCTGAATATGCTGCAGGTTTTTCAGAGGGGGGTGTGTGTGTGTTGTTTAACTGCAAGGACGTTTATAAAAGTTAATTTTATTTTTATCAAAGTAATACATGCATATCTGGCTGGTCATGGTGGTTCACACCTGCAACCCCAGCACTTTTGAAGGCTGAGGCAAGAGGATTACCTGAGCCTGGGAGCTTGAGACTGGCCTGAACAACATGGTAAGACCTTGCCTCTACAATAAATTTTTTTTTTTGAGTTGGAGTCTCACTCTGTCACCCAGACTAGAGTGCAGTGGCCGCT